TTCCCCCAGACGTTGGGGAAGCTTCTCCAAACTTTGGGGAAATTTAGGGGAAATGAGACCCAAACTCCAGAATTTCCCCAGACCTGGGGAAATCCCAAAAATTTCCCTAAACTTTATAAAAATTAAAAAAATCATTTTTTGTGTATAATAACGTGTCAAGATATGTGAAAGGTCGATGATGTACCAACAGTATGACAATGTCCTTAATGCGAACAAAGAACTTACAGTTACATCTGATAATTAACTGTAATAAACATTTATATATATCATGAATCAGTCTTTTAATAATTGCGATAAATCGGTTGACATTGAGTTTCATTAGCGATGAGCGACTGACGAAAAGTAATAAAACATCCCAGTAAGAAATGTACGTAAGCATTCTCTCTAGGTCTTCCGTGATGTCGATAGGCTTTCGTTAAGCTTTTGCGTTAAAGCAGTTTTCTAGGAAAATCCAAAGGTTTGGTGAAGCTTCCCCAAAATCATATAACTATCGTGTCCGTTTCCCTTTCACCTGGCTTCGCAGGCATTAACAGACGTAACCATAGTTTGTTTGTTCTTTTGTATATTGTTTTATACTACTTACAAAAATTCAGTAGTCAGTTGTATTCCCAAAAGCTTCAGTTCACTTTGGGAATTTCCCCAAAGTTTGGGGAAGCTTCCCCAACGTCTGGGTAAATTTTGGGGATTTTGTCTCATTTCCCCAAAATTTACTATAGAGGCTTCCCCAAAATGGACTAAATTTTCCCCAAAGTTGGGAGCCTGGGAAAGCCTGCGAAACCAGCTGAAATGGAAACGGACAAGACAAAAGTCGTATCACTTTAAGTATTGATCACAAAGTAATAAACCGTTACAGTAATTAAAGTACAGTGATTATAGTGATAAATACAATGATAATTATCATCCTGCGAACTTTGGGGAAATCCCGAATGTGAACTTCAGTTATTGGGGATACAACTGACTACTGAATTCAAATAAGTAGTACAAAACAATACACAAAAGAGTAGAAAGGGAATGAGTAGGAACAATGTAGGACAAATATAACATTTGTATTATAACAAGCATTTTAAGTGGTTTTAGCTCACCCTTTCTTTGGATCGCCATCCACGTTTATGTACTTTATCTCTTGCGTCATGGCGATCGCCATAAGATGCGTAGTAATAACCATAGGTTAATAGCATTTCGTGTTTAGAAATATTAAAAACAATCAATATTGTAGGGATGTTAATATTGGTATTATACTTGGTTTAAATTATTAAATCGAATAACGTTTATGCCTGTTAGCTGTCCATATGAGTTGATTCCCAATTGCATCTGTATTAGTAGGCTAACTGAAATAACAAAGGTATTACCGTAGAAAAGAATTCCAACTAGTGTTCCAGTTAGTTTGATACGGTTTATTTAGTTACGGAGAGATTTTCTCGACCTCATTTTTACTTGACCGTGATAGAATTTAGTAACACTATTAATACATATGAATGGTTATAAAAAAATTATTTCAAGACGTGCAAAGTGATAACTCTGTGAACTTTGGTCAGATAACTAAGAGGAATTTCTTAAACATGAGTATATCCGTGAGAGACATACTCTAGACTCAATGTTCTGATTTGCCATAGACTAGTTATTTATATTCATACCTACCGGCTGATGGTGAATACAGGTTAGTTGCAAGTATACAGTTTAGCATAAGGCGGCATACTATTTAATTGAAATATAGTGATTATAAGTTGTTGGAATTAACCGAGCTTATGTGCCGCAATTGTAGGTGATGTGCTGCTGCAAAATATCTGCGGTTAAATAAGTCTTCACAAGATGATTAACAGTGAGTGATGCTCGTGTGATTATCAGGAAGAACATAAGTTGTAACCGAGGGGAGTACGCCCCCAACTCATGTCTATAATAATGGCTTGAACCCTAGTTAGTGTTGGGTTAAATTCAACAGTTTTCAGGAGATTTGCTCAACTGTTTATACTGATGACTTGCATGCATGGTTGTGTCGCCAGACTTCCAATTAGACTGACAAAATTTTAAGATATTTATTGAATGAGCAGCCGACAAATACTGTAATCACCTGTAGTGGATGAAGATAAGATCTTTGGAACAGTATTGCATTTTTGGTAATTCTTGAAACAAGTAATATTCATAACTCAGTCAGTGAAACGCAACGTAGAATATTAGTTTACTTTTGTTCGGCCTAACTTCTTGATAAGTCTTGTCGACTGAACGCTATATTCATTTTCCTAAGCTATTCTGGTAACCCACAGGCTAGAAGTACACAGCGACTTGAACACCAGAGAGAAGACGCAAGTATGGGAGAAAATATTTTACTCCAAGGTTCATTTTCTTACAGAAAATATAGGGTTTTTATAATATATCTAAATGTCCTTGGGTTGCTGGAAGATTCTGGAATGCTACTAAACATAGTAGCACTGTAGTAGCCAACCAATCAGAGCTTCCGCATGTGACGTTTCGCTACCTTGATATTTCTGGCCAAGACTCCAAGTGAACGCTGATTGGACGAAACACTTCTTAGTGTTTCTTAATGCTTGCTTGTCTTTTGCAAGCGATTTCCGGATCACCCCAACACTTCTGTTCAATATGCAACTCCGGACGTTTCCGGTTTATGAATTAATTTTGGATGGACTGCAGGAAAACCAAATATTCTTTAAAAGAAAGGATACAACGCTAGTAATAACTACAGGACACCTCCAACCTTATGGAGAGCATCTATCTGAACGGTCATCAAATTAAGAAGGCTATGGTAATAGACAATCTAGTTGTCAAATCCCCTATTTGAAAGTTAGTATATTAAATCTATCAAATTGTGATGGATACAGTGAAAACAAACACAAGAATCCTCCCCAATCTTTGATTCCTGACCAATATCCTACTATTTTCATGTATTTTTGTTTCCGCTCTTGCTATGTTTATGAAGATAATTTAAGTGATATTCAAGCTCGAATTATAATGGGGGAATTATTTTATAACAATGATGGATGGAAAGCAGAAGAATGATAATGAAATACCAATCTCCGAAAGTTACGTATACCTTTTCTCATTTGTAAATGTAGGTGGAAACAAACGTTGAAATACTTAATATATTGGGTAACATAATCCGTCTGCAAGTTGAGGTCTCCAGATTCTCAGCTCATGTAAATTACTATAATGATAAACAAGACTTCTATCTTATAAGTGAAGACCTTCAGTAACATGTTATACTCAAACGCTTTCTCCTCTACGTGGTTCAATACCTGATGTTTTGGAGTGAAACTATAACAGAAAATCTAATTTGGCAATTTCCTTATGTCCTCAATTAGACACAATTGAGAAGTGAAAAAGATAAATGAAAGTTACCTGTTAGTTTAAATTTCGATGCTACATGTAGTTCTCATACGCCTTAACAAGGAATAGAGATATACGTTAAAGCCGATAATTTTAATTTACAAAAACTCTAATTCACTCGGTGGACTAATTTTCTTAGGAAATCTGACGACACTTGACATTTTAAACTAGTTTCCGAAGAATAGTTGAAAAGTATCGTCCTTGTTATAGGTAATATAGATGAGAATCACATAATTCTATTCAACAGTATTACTTTTATATCTGAATGCGTGTTTAAAAAAGGGCAGAATGATATCCAAACTACCCAAAGAAATTTCCAATTAGAATCTCTGAAATAAGCAATTGGTTAAGAGAAAAAACTTTGAGTTCATATGTTGGCTTCTAGGTTTTCATGGTCAGTATTACGGATGAGGTTGGGGATTTGAGAGAGATGGCTTTGGTGTTAATGACTGTCAAGTCTGGCACCCACTGACAGTATATATATATTACAGGAAAGACTACGTTAAAGAATTAAGAACAATTTTATGGGCAGAACATAATGTGATTCAGAAACTATATAAACTGAGGGAAAGTACTAACAATAATCACCATCCCTATTTACACTTTATACACTCATCAACACCCTTTTATCGGTGTAATGCTGTACCTCGAAAATTAATGACATTTTAGTGACCTTTGATAGACATTAACTTCATACCCGTACAGCAATCGTATTAAAGAACATTATGACAGTATAATTAGACTACTTAGTAAGATACGATACAAATTACATATAAAACTTCAATGAACCATTAAAATATGTAGTGATCTCTTCAGTGAAGATTTCTCTGACTTAGAAGCGTATGTATCACAAAATAGCATATTAAGAGAAAACCAGGACAACAAACATACCAGCAGAGAATAATATTGCTAATGGTTTAAAGCCATATAACAAATGCGTGACATCTGAGCTATATTGATTTGAGTACCTGAATAACAAGTTTGAATATTCTAAGAAACTCAGGTAAAATGTTTCCAGTTTAGGGTACACCACTTGCACTAAGCCAATGGCTTTACAGATTGCTGCCGTCGTTCAATTTGATAACTAAGGAAGTTGTAGTAGTCGAGAACGTGCTTTGTCCAAATAACTTAAAATAACATAGACATTGTCTTCCCTTTAATTTTCAGGAGGGAAGTCGTAAGTTCTTCATAGTTTGAAGCAAGTATTTATAAAAATACTTTTCTACTGACACAAGTAAGCAATTTTTGAATACTTTAATAATAAATAGAAATGCGATTCAGAGTACATGTTTCAACCTTTTTACTAATTTGCCAGCTATGTACTAGTAAATCTGACGGTGAATTGAACCCAATCTTCATGACATGAAATCGCAAAACATGATCAACCAAGCTGCGACACCCAAGCCCTTGTTCACAATATAGATTATTACGACCTGAACTTTGCTTACTACGCCTGTAGCTCCTTTAGAGTTACTGCCGATCCCAAGCCCGGGTAAACGAGGGGTGTTGAGCATGGGATTAGTGACCCCATCCCGTAGAAAACTAACTCGCTAAAAATACGCTAACCAGAGTGCTGGCGGCCGGTCTATGCTCCTCCACGAGTAGCAGGCGTAAGTATGTAAGTTTGCTGACAATGGACTACAAGACCGAATCTTTTTTATCACATCACAGTACAAAATTCAAGTTATATTAAGTAAAGTAAAAAATTATACAGATGAATATTAGGCTTTAGGAGACATTATATTTGTTGTTGTTATACTATCACCAGTAGATGTTTTGCTTTCATCGATTAGATTAGTAAATGTAGAACAATAACCAGAACTAGCATTTGTAGCTAAAAGTGAAGAAATACATTGATCAAATCGATATGCAGCTGATAATTTATCTGGTTGAATAGGTGTTCCCGGCTTATAAAATGGTGAACACACCAAAGCAATATAAGCGGTATGCAAACGTTGAAACATTGCTCGAACATCAACATCTCGAAGATGTGTTTGATGAACTGATACATTGGATTGGGTTGATTGAGAAGACAAAACATGTGACTCAAAAATCATGATAAACTATAAGAGAAAAAAAAATTGCAATTTAAATAAAAATTTGATTCTATAATAAGGAATGGTCATGCACTTTTAACAACAGTAACAGTTTAACTTGCAATAAAGGGTCTATTTATACATAAAGTACTGAATAAAGTGAGTAGTATTACTAGTTTAAAAGTGGAGCTTACTCAAGTGAGGACCTGATCTGACAATTCCAAATTTAAGCCTTAAACTATCATATACTCGCTTCTAGAACGACAAGGTGGGATGTCAATCCGTGCAGAATAAATTCAGTTTAATCTACAGTTAGAATATGAACATGATTTTTGAGGCGTGTTTTGATGATATCATCTAAAAATACTGGTAGAACCTTAAAATTCCCCCGATCTTGCTCAGTGAGTGAAACTCCTTTGAAATCTTATTTTTGAGCTAGAAATCATGTTCCACAATGTAACCTGAGCTGGATGGTTTGGTTTTCACCAAAAGATTTGCAGATATACATCCATATGTAACTCCCCCTGTAGCTTCTCTAGAGTTACTGCCGGTCCCAAGCCCGGGTAAACGAGGAGGGTTGAGCATGTGGTTAGCGACCTCATCCCGTTGAAAACTAACTCACTAAGAAAACGCTAACCAGAGCGCTGGCGGGCAGTCTATGCTCCTCCACGAGGAGTAACAGGCGTAAATAAGTAAGTAAGCATCCATTTATTTTAACTTTGTTCAAGGTACATGAAGAAAGTAAAGAGCTGAAAAACTAGTTATGTTTGTGCTGTGACTGATTTAGGGTACGTAGCAATCTCCAAATTAAGAAAAGTAACAGGTTTAATACAGTTACTAGTTACGGTTAAATGTAACCATTTAAATAGTAGTTGAATGTTCAAGTTTTTAAAATACTGATACTAAATTTATGTAATAGATGTATTAAGACAAAAAAATATCCTGAAACATTGCTTCAAGCATTCTAGATTAGTGAATAATGGTTAGTTCAAAGGTGAAATCACGTATTAAACTAACAAGTATTCTAGTCGAATAGCCCCAAATGCCATGGTACGGCCGAGAAGGGGAGAGTCCACTCTCCCTCTCGAAATGCTCTCACATGGCCACGCGTATATAGCCTCTGCCAGGGAAGTCCTACTCACTGCCTTCTCGTGGCGGGGTTGTTGTTTACGAAATTGAGAGGATGAAAAGCGAATGTCCGGCGCTTTAACCGGATTCCAAACTAACGGTGCACATGGGCTTCAGTATCCTGCGGGAACAAATGGCGTATGAACCAATTATTGGTCATCGGCTACAATGAGACTGCATCTCTTTACGATGCATCACTCCCTTGTGAATCGAGCTCTAGGTCAAAGGCTCCGGGTGTGGCTTCCTAAGAAAACCACCTGCGTCGGTTTGGGCACCCGGGCAGTATTACGGCTCTCACACAAAACAAATGATATTTGTGTGGCGCATATGTATCTGGTGCCCCCTCGTACCTATATCTATATGTTCAAATAAAATAAAGGAATAATGTCGTGTGGAATTCTGTCAGTATTTAATTTAAGCTCTCGAAAGTTTTACAGATATAATTTGTTTTTTATATACTCGGCATGAAATTTTAATTGATATCCTAACGTTTATGCAGACTTTTTTCCTTATGAGAAACCCAACAATAATATTGCGATAGGTTTGAATAGATATAAAAATGTTAGAAAGCAATTACATTCATTTAATATTTGTGAAAACTACTCTTAAAAAGTAAACGAATATACAATGATACTGAAATCTGTGATAACTCCGTCTTGCATATTACACGTACTTTGATCTTTGTATTAGTCACATAACCATAAATTCTGTGGTCCTCCATTGGATATAGGAGTCCCAGGTATTGTTCTAGTTGATCGTGATTACCACCAGAAGTTGTACGTTTGGATAATTTGTCTTCGATAACATCCAAAGCAGAATGTGCTTTAAAGTGGTAGAACAAAGGATCAGGACACTCGGCAGTTCTCAAGTAAAGCAATTGGTTAGTATCGGAAATTACTACCACACATGCGGCCATTTTCAGCGTGTTTATGATTGAGATAAAGATTATTAAAGAAGTATATCATGAAAAATTCGGAACTCGTAGATTTTAGCCTTTACATGACATAAAGATTCGATTATCTAGCCTTCAGAAACAAATAGTGGATGCAAATAAGTGAAAAAAATTGTTAGTTTCGAAACCAAGAATGTTGGTATAAATCACAAAAATAAATAATTATGTTGAAAAAGTCCCATGGCCAACACTTGACAAACAATAAACCAGTTGCTGAATACAACATTCATACGATAAACCATGGATATGCACATTGCGCGAGCTAATACTTAGTGAGGTGTAGTAAAGATTTATCATAATCCACAATGATTGGAATAAAATGTTGTATTTTACTCAATTCAATGGTCATAAAGCAAAATTCAGTTACTACTCATTAGTTAGTGTATACTACCCAATATGGTTATAGAGTTTACTAGACTATGAAGGGAAAATCAGCAATGAACAAGGTTAAACTTTAATGGATTTTATTGCCACAGAGACCAAAGAGTGAAGATTGTCTTCAGAAATGCCGGTTTTACGGCTGCATACGAAGTAACTTACATCTATTATTTAAACTTCAGGTGCATTAACTAATTGCTTTTTGTAATCATCTGTCAACGAAAAAGACCTTGCGAAACTGTACGATATCGCGACACAAGGTTATTATCACATCAGAGACAAATTAATAAAGCGTAATCGGAGGAAACAATAACAGGTATGTACTAATTTAAAGTGATGACTTCCCTACTGCTCTATAATTACAGTCGACAGTGTTAACGAACATAACCGTGAGGCTTCAAGTACCTGGCTATGCCAAAGCATGTCGTTCAGATATCGTTGTAACTTCTTTCGTTTTCCACACTTCAGAATTCACAAGATTATTTTTTTCTCAATAGCCGAACAGGCGTGGCTAAAAGAAGTAATCCATGGAATGTTTTTTTATGTTTAACTTATTTTTCGATAAACATTATCTTGCCGTTTGTGTAGTTTGTTGTGGAAATAAAGGCAAACATAAGAGACCTTTGGAGTTATGCCAATGTTGTTTTAAAAGTTGGAGCAAAAGTAGCTAATTCGGCTTGTATTTAGGCGAAAAGTAAACAATTCAGAGACATTTGAGAGACAGAGACAAAAAGGGGGGATCCGCATTATTTCCACCGAACAGGCGAAAAAGCGGACATTTTGGAACGTTTGCCCTTTATTTTCACTTTGTCCACCTTTATTTCCTCTTTGTTGGTTGATTTGGGCACAAAGCGCACACAACGCACTTACATTTAATAAGTGAAACTATGATCATCAGTCAACAATGATGCAGTCCTGAGGTAAAGATAATTTAGCAATTGGAACAGAATGTAGATAGCACAGTGTTTTGAACCCACTACAACTTTCTAATGTTGTGCAATGAGAAACTCGACCAGCTGGAATTACCGTTGGAAAAAATTCCCCGGTGAGATGCGTATAAATTCCTAGCTCAATTATTTTTCGACTGACTGCAACTGCTGAAAGAATATTATATCCAACCAATCAACAATGTTAAACGAGAGATCGTCCCCGTCTTACCGTATTGCTAATGTTACAGTTACGTCAGTTAGGAAATTAGCGCGTAGATTACATATAACTATTTAGCATGCTATCATGTAGCCTCGATGTTTTTGAGGACGGATTTCTATAAAGTGAATTAGTGTAACGTCTTCACAATACTTTAATCACTTTGCAGCTCTATGGTGACGTATATTCAGTGATTTTTTAAAAAGACAAAATGAAGACCATATTTTCTCTCTAATTTGTCACACTTTATATGTAACCACATTTTTATTCAGTATCTGTTGTTTCTCTGTATCACTTGTTAAAATAACGATGATAATTGTTTCGATGAACAATATACGACTTTACTACCGCGTGGTTTGAAAATATAAACCGCTATCTACACCGTTTTGTTCTTCTGCTTTATTGACCACAGTTTTTGATTGAAGATTATAATGGTGTTATAACATCCCTTTAAGCCTTCCGACACTACGTTGGAATTTTGGCACGGATTATTATATTATAATACTATTGGACGCAATCTTTCTCAATACGCCGTTGGTGCAATTACTTGCAGAGGAACCTTCGGTAGTCGAGTGAACTTATTTGTGGTTGTTATTCTCGCGAGGCAGCTTTCAAGTAACATTCGATCCATAATAATTGTTATTTGTTTGTTTAATATACCATTTGCATTGTAACTATATTTTGTTACTCTTGGTTTTTACTCACAGACAGACACCTAGGTTTTTTTTACTGTTAACTTTATTGGTGTATTATTATTAATCCAGCGTGTCGATATCTCTCGTATAAGCCCCTTTTGTTGGGAACCACCACAGGTCCAAACTCTATGATGATGTAGTGGCATTCGACCCCTCAGAACCAAAGTGGCGACCATTCTGGATTACCCAGAACCGACCAACATCAAGCAATTACGAACGTTTAACGGCACTGTAAATTTCTATAGATGATTCATACCAAAGTGCGCGTTGCTCATGAAAACTCTTACCGACCAACTTCGTGGAAATGAGAAATCAATCAAACTAGACGACACCGCGCGAAAAGCATTCTCCACAATTAAGGAACTTATTGCTAAAGCAACAATGCTTGCTCATCAGGACACCCGAGCACCCATTAGTATCGCAGTAGACACATCCGACTCAGCAATCGGAGGAGTTTTACAACCGTATCGAAGGCCATGAATTTACCCTTTCCATCCACCATAAACCCCTTAGCTTTTCCTTAAATTCTTCTTCAGGCAAGTACTCTCCCCGTGAGTCTCGACAACTGGACTATATTTCGCAGTTTACTTCAGACATCCAACGCGTTTCTGGAGCAAACAATGTAGTTGCAGACGCCTTGTCTTGAATAACTTCCTTGAACAGTTTCCAAGGAATCGACCTTCTTAAACTCGTCCAGCTTCAAAACGAAGACACTGATCTTCAGCACGAGTTGTCGTCTTCAACACTCAAGCTACGCATCAAGCAGATGGGAAAGGGTAAGGGAACCTTACTTCGTGACACATCTACAGGTAGGAATCGCCCAATCGTGCCAAAACATTATCGACCCGACGTCTTCAATAGGTTGCACAAACTTTCTCATCCAGGCGTTCGTGCAACCATCAAGCTGATAACAGAACGGTCTTGCTGGCCTGGCACGAATAAAGACGTGAGGGAGTAGGCACGCTCCTGTGTAAACTGCCAAAAATCTAAGGTTATCAGGCTCATTTAAAACTCCCGATGCTCGTTTCGACCATGTTCATCTGGATTTGGTAGGACCTTTGCCAAATCCAAATGGATACTCTTATCTCTTAACATGCGTAGACCGTTTCACTCGATGGCCAGAAGCAGTACCTATCAAGGACATCACTGCTGAAACAGTGGCCCGCACCTTCGTCGAACGATGGGTAGCAAACCTCGGTTGCCCTTCAACCATCACTACAGACCGCGGACGTCAGTTTGAATCTGAACTTTACCGTCGTCTGACCACACTTTTAGGGATCACTCGCTTCCGAACGACTGCCTACCATCCACAAGCTTCGCTATCAGCTGCAAATGTTTCAAAGTGGGCCGACGCTCTTCCACTCGTCTTACTAGGTATTCGCAATGCGGTCAAAGCTGGCATTGGATACACTGCGGCTCAACTCGTTTATGGAACGACACTTCGACTTCTAGGAGAATTCGTGGATCTTTCATCGTCTTCAATGAAGATGGATCTAAGCTGCTTCATGAACAGGCTTACAAACGCAATGCGTTCAGTTAAACCTGTTTCCACTCGGCCGCAATCAACTGATGTTTTCGTTCAACCTGACTTACGATATAGAACACGCCTCTTCGTACGTCGAGACTCGCATCGACGACCATTCGAATTAGCATACGAAGGACCTTTCAAAGTTGTTCAACGCGAACCGAAGTACTAATCGATAAGAACGGAACCAACGATAGCATCAGCATCGATCGCCTCAAAGCAGCGTATTTAGAAGGAAATCCTATTCACGTCGATTTTCCTCCGGTACAATCGAACGACGCGACTCCGACCCTTATAACACCTCATTCGACAACCAACACACACGACGATACTTCGACAGTATCTGAAAGTAAACTTAAAACAACGCGATCTGGGAGAAGATTAAAATTCCCAGAACATTTAAACGACCATTGCATGTAAGACACCAGTCAACATTTTGTTTCATCTCGACTTTCTATGGTATTATATATAAATCTAAAAAAATAAATTTTTATGTGCTTATATTTATGTATATTTATTAGTTGGTTAATATATATATTATAGAATTTAAAAAAACATTTTGTAAAAATCGCTTTTACGTTATTTACCTTTTTTCGCCCATTTTGTGTCTTAAAGCGCATACGAGTTTATTTCGACATGCACTTACGTATTCTTTTTTTCTTTTCCAGGTCGGCTGGAAAAGACGATAAAAAGAACGATGAGGATTATGAGGAACCAAAAGTTTTCATTGTACATTATCTTTTTATTATATTGTATTTGATGGTCCCTTATAGTAAGGAAGGACGACCAGACGCTGCTAAACCTAGCAGGCTATCAAAAGAGTGTTTACCGACGACAATTTCGTTGAGTTTAAACTTCTGGCTGGCCACGTCTTAGGGTCATCACTACTCCACTAGGAGGGAATGTGATCTGTAAAGGTAAATAAATCCCCAAAATAAATAGCTCATTTAAGCTTATTTTTGGATATATGTCATACCTCACACAATCCTCTGCGTTTCACATCCTGTTAAAAAACACTATTTCTATAAGTGCAATTTTACAAACTTATCAGGCAGTTACAAGTTATGGACTGTGGGTAAGGCATCGATGCAGTACTTTAATTTAACTATAGTATAAAGTATAGTTTATAAATTAGAGTATAAGCATTAAGAAGGGTGTAGCGACCGAACAGCCAATATTCGGTTGGAACTACGGACTGACGAACTCAAAATTTATTCGATTAGACCAGACCAAGTTCCTTTGTATAGCTCACAACGCGTTTTTGAGATACTCGTATTATATTATATCAAATCACAAACTTTGTGCTCAATATAAACGGTTCTAATTAAGAAAACAGAACAAATTACATCAAAAATAGAAAATACCTCAAACGGTACAGCCTGTGCTATGCAGTCAGAAGCTTCTCTAACGCAAAGTAGCGCGCTAGACAATGAAAGAGATAGTTAATACTAAAGGGTTTGATACCTGAGAATCAATACAAATATTCCCAGTAAGATGGGATCAAATACCTATCTGCAGGGATTGCAGCAATACTACCAAGAAGACAGTCAGAAGGTTAACAGTCACAAACTGAACCACGTCGTGACCTTGAGCTTAGTCAAACACGACCTAGCTGTCAATGGTCCGGCAACACGCAATAGAAAATTAGGTAACAAAAAATAAGTCTTTAATCAAAATCACATAATAAAGGCTCAAACGGGGAAAACTGAAGAACAAAAGAAATGGTTAAACGAAATCGGAACAAGGGTTAAAATACACAAAAGAGGAGAAGGAACAAATAAATGACAATACTGTTCAACAAAGAAGCTGCAGAAGGATTTTCACTGTTCTCTTTCCGTTACAAAGGGTATAATTGTCTATTGAAGCAGGCGGAAAAGTGTAAAATATATGAGTTGTAGATAGGGTAAGGAGTGGAGAAAGAATAGTAATTGCTAGTCAAAATAGTGTGCAGAAGAGTGAAAAGTTAATTAAGAATAAACAGAAAGAAACTCACATTAACTTGTTGCTGATGTTATTTTGTGTTGTCCCAACCAGTTGATGGGTAACATGCTCCACAGATGCAAGACCACTGGTAGTAGGCTATCGATAGTGCGGTTCTCTTGACTTTTTAGGATGGTAGTGAGTGTCCCTTAGCGACAGAGTTTAGTTGAACAATATCAATGAGTCCAGTGAGTTACCTGTCTACTTCAAGTAAAGAAATGGGGTGGAAAAAGTAACTAATACGACTGCAAAGTAGGAAAAATATGGCAAACTGAACGTGAAATCCATTTTGGTTTAGATATGAAGAGAGCCTATGATGTCTGAGTGGGGGGCAGATATGTTCGTACGTGCTAGATCGGTGCAAGTGAGGGCTTGATCAAGGGGTTTTACAAACGTATGTAATTCATCTGCCATGTATATTTCTGACGGAAGACTGTTCCATATTATTGCATACTTGGTGAGGAAAAAGTTTTCCCGAGTTTTCGATCTGTATTTCCCAAATTTTACGGCAGATACTTTGTTTCGAAGTTCGCACTCATGTGAATCTCGGGCAAGACTATCTTATATGTTGAATAAGTAAGGTTTTTGAGTAGTTTGAAGTAGAGAATCAAATTAGACCTAAGCCTTCTCTTCCAAAGGGGTTCTATTCTTAAGATTTGGCATCGGGAACTGTAGTCAATGACTGAGTATTTTGCGGGTGAAGTCTCGTTGCATTCCTTCCACCTTTAGTATATCAGATAGGCGTAGGTTGGAAAATAAGAACGAGCAGTATTCAACGATAGGTCTTACACAAACTTTATAAAGGATTTTATATTCATTTTGATAGAAATAAAGGGGGATGAAGCCAAGCAACTTCCGCATTTTATGTGCTTTGGCTGTGATGTGTTCAGGCAAATTAAAACTGTGTGAGTAATGTACCCATAGGCCATTTACTGTTGCCAGTCTGGGCAGTGTGTGGTTGTTAAGTGTTGGTTTTATTTTAAGAGGCGTGTCTACCATACATAACCAGCCGCATTTCTTTGTGGTGAGCTCTAACCCCCAGCGTTTGCACAAGTCGTCTACCATGTTGGGTTCATGTTGGATTGTTTGCACAGTACTACGTACATCACAAATGTCAGTTTTATAGGTGAC